GGCTGGGGATTCGAACCCGCCACCTTAGGTGTAGGTGTCTGGCGCCTTAGCCGGTTGAGCTATAGGCGCTGAGCCTAAACCTTTATTCTTTAGGAATGCAGTTGCTTACTTCTTAAACAAATATCAGCTAATTTTACTTCATTTGGATTATTCTGATTAAAAATGGCTATAATAATGTGGCCAGTTAGGATTAGTTTTGGCTCTGAGGGATGAAAACAAAAAAGAACAGTGGCTTAAAGAAGACAGGAAATTATTTTTTTTATTTTTCTTTCTCAGAGATAGGATACCAGGATTGACATCATGCTCCAGAGTATTCAAGAAACAAAGCTCTTGTGTTCTTAAACCGTCACTATCATTCCATATTCCAGAAAGCAGAACAAAAGCATATGCTTTTTCTTTCCCTTTAAGGATACTCCTCAGAAGTTACATGTACCATTTTCCTTATATCCTGTTGGTCAGACTTAGACACATGGCCACATCAAGATAAATGGCCAGGCAGGCTGGGAAATAGTCTTTATTCAGGTATCCATGTGCCCAGCTAATGTTAGGGTTCTGTTTCAGAGGAAAAGGAAAATGGATATTAGAGGACAGATGGCAGTTTCTGCCACAATTGTAAACTAGAAACATATTTTAGAGCATAGTTAGCCACTTCTTTATGTATTGCTTTTCTGAAAAAGACAGATTATATTCTGGGCAACACTTCAAAATTATACTCCCCTTTTACTGTTACTGGTTTTGATCACTTTAGTCTCCTAATCAAAAACTTTACTTTTCATTGCCATTAAGAATAAAATCTGAACTCTTTTAGCATAGTCTCCCATAACAGTAGAATCAGCTAATTCTTACCTCTTTAGAATGCTATTTCTACTTCTTTTCCTCATTACATTCTGTAATCAAATAAATTGTATACTTCCTATATTTTGTAATTGCTTAGTTACTTTCCTGACTCCATTCCTTTGTTGTATAGTTACTTTTGTCTAAAATGCCTTTCTCTTTCCATATCAGTGAGTATCCCATCTTAGCTGTCTTCTAATGGCCAACTCAGTTGTCTAGAGTTCTGCAATACTCCTAGCTAGAATTAGTTTTCCTTCCTTCAGATCCTTATAATTCTTTATCTGGCTTTCTTTTGTAGTGTAATTCTTTAATTTGCTATGATATCTATTCATGTATATGACTTTAACCCTAATCTAGATTGTTTTCTAAAAACATTTCTGAGTGATCTTTTATATTTTTTCTTCCACACCAGCAACAAAGCCTTTCACATAATAGATGCTTGAGAGGCATTTTTAAATATTTTTTGTTGGCAAGGCACATTGGCTCACTCCTATAATCCCAGCACTTTAGGAGGCCAAGGCAGGAGACTCTCTTGAGGCCAGGAGTTTGAGACCAACCTGAGCAACATAGCAGACCTCAGCTCTGCAAAAAATAAAATTAGCCGTGTATGGTGGCACATGCCTGTAGTCCCAGCTACTTGGGAGGCTAAGACAGAAGGATCACTTAAGCCTAACAATTCAAGGTTACAGTGAGCTATGACCATACCCACTTCAACCTGGGCAACAGTGAGACCTATCTCTTAAAAAAATAAAATGAAATTGTTCATTTCCTGTTGATGTACTCATTTCTTTGTCTTAGGATCTAGTCTCATTCCTGCTGCAGTGCCTTCAACTCAAGTAAAAGACACAAAAATAGAAAACCTGCCAGACACTAAAAGCACTAAACAGAAAGAAGAGACCCATAGTAAGGTGACAGTTCCTGTGGAAGCCTGGACAGAGAATAAGGAGTCCTTACCATTAGATATTGAAGGTAATGGGATTGAGGTGTGTGTATGTGTGTGTGTACTTTGTATTTCCATGTGTACATTGATGTCAGTGTTTGTATGTTTTCATTCCATTCTGATGAGAGTATAGCCTGTGATTTAAATAGTGATTCATTTTTTTCCTTTTTTTTACTTACATAAATCATTTCATTGCTACTTTATGTGTTCATTTGTATTGAATGTAAAGTAATTATTACTTTTGGATAAAGATAGTAGCAACTTAGAAACAGGATTATAAATAAATACATAAGGCTGAATACTATTAAAAGTGAAACATCGGCTCAGCGCCTATAGCTCAACCGGCTAAGGCGCCAGCCACGTACACCTAAGGTGGCGGGTTCGAATCCCCAGC